GTACAGGGAACTGCTCGGAGTTTCCCGCTCTGCAATACATGTAAAAGATAAATAGATAGACAGAATATACTATATTTGTAACATACAGTAAAGAAATGGCATGAAGAATAGAATAGAAGAGAAAATCCTTTATTCAAATTAATTTAATTTAAGCACTTTTGAATAGTCATAAAATCTCATTCGGAAAGCTGTCTCATCATAAGAAAAACGAGCAAACTTGTGTGTTGCTTTTTTAAATAATCGTTGTAAGTTTACATTATTCAAGTCGAAACGTATGAATACGAACTACTAACTAGCACAATTTTTTTGGGGTCAAATATAAATTCACAATAAGATTAGATCAGTCGTAGTGATAAGAGCAGACCAGTCTCTACAAGCAGGACTCGTTTACGATTATGACGTATGAGCCAGCCATCACTGCGCTCGACCATATTTTAGGGAGCCCAATGACCCGGCCCACCTCGCCGCCACATGTCTGGACATTTTAGTAAGCATGACTACTTATTCCACTCGACCACGTCACGTCGTATGAGCCAGCCATCACTGCGCTCGACCATATTTTAGGAAGACCTGGGCGGCGTATATTTTAGGAAGACCAAGATATTAAAAACATATATATAGTTACAATAAGGTAGCCTTATTGCTGAAGTAATCTTTTCAAGGCAAGTTCAGGGAAACGGGTTTAAATATCGAACAAGTAGGTAATATGCTAACGGGAGAAAACTAAAAAGCAATAAACGTATAATGGTGATGTAGGAATTAAGTAATTTAAATTTATGTCAATGTTATTTCACTACCTTCTATCAACAACAATCAATATAACCTCTCAATGGTGATAGTAAAAACGCTATCGCCTATAACTTGAGGCAAACAACAAAATATATATGTACCTAAATTAGAAGAAGCAGATACGCTGTTTTCTGATTTTACAAATACCCTCTCTTGCCTAAAGTTTGCCATAATTTCTTATCTTTACCAAGTCTACCCGTAGTCTCAAGAGTACAACGTTTTAGAACATCAAAATTATTTTAGTAATAATACCTATAATATATTTCGTCTTTACATATAATAAAATCGAGCCAAAATTTGTCAGTGTGTCGCTCATTCCCTATATCTAAATATATATAAATCAAAGGTGACTGACGTAGTGATCTATCAACGCACAGCCACACCACTGGACGGACCGGGCTGAAATTTGGCATGCAGGTAGATGTTATGACGTAGGCATCCGCTAAGAAAGGATTTAATTCTACCCCCAAGGGGATAAAATACGGGATGAAAGTTTGTATGAAACTTTGTCAATTTTAAACCGATCGGACTGAGACGTCCCTTAGGGGTGGAATTTATCAAAATCCTTTCTTAGGGCATGCCTACGTCATAGTAGCTTTATGTATGCAAAGTTTCAGCCCGATCGGTTTAAAATTGACAAAGTTTCATACTACACATCAAAATCCTTTCTTAGCGGATGCCTACGTCAAAACATTTACCTGCATGCCCCCATGTTAACCATTACCTGTATAACCCCCACTCATACCTTCTCTGTATAAAAGCGAGTGTTTTTGTAAGCCGCGGTATTCGGTCTTTGAGCACAGGATGTGCTGGTTGTATTTTAAAACGCTAAAGTGAATTGTGTTAGATACATAGTTAAATTAATGCTGTATAGTTGTTATTTTATTATAATACATACTTTTACTAGTATATAGAGTTGATATATTTTACAAAACTGATACAAATACATAGATCTGTCTTCGCATATACATAAAAATTATACATAGAAAACACCCAGATACAAACAATCATACTCATGAATGCTAATGTTCATGCCGTGCGAGGAATCGAACCCGCGACCATCGGACGTAAAGTGATATGCTAAACCGCTCGAACACCGATGTCGTCAATATATACAAGGATTATATTTTAGGATTATATTTTAGGATTACATTTTAGGATTATATTTTAGGATTACATTTTAGGATTACATTCAAGTATTACATTTTAGGATTACATACAAGGGTTACATTTTAGGAACACATTCCGTTTCAATTTTAGATAATCTATATTCAGACGCATTAATTCGCCAAAGTGGGGATGTCAGATTCACCCGTGACGTGATGAATGGCTTATCAATGTCTCCCCGGATACCGCCTTAGGTTTCATGTTTATTTTATGTTCCTCTATCTTGTTACAATTTTATACGTATACAGGCCATGGAAAAATCTACTTTAATGCTGCTTGTGGAGATTGGTCTGTTCAATGAACACTGATTAGATTTTTGTTTTTTACAATAGGCCTAACTACCTAAGACTACAGCCAGACGTTTTCCTCGATTTAAACAAAAGGAAAAGGTGCATTAAGGTTTCTTAAGGTTGGAATGCGCACGTGACACCCCTGGTGTCTCAAGCGTCCATAGGGTATGGTAACCATTTACCATCAGATGGGCCATATGCTTGTTTGCCACACCATCGTAGTAAAAAAATGCATGAATGTCGGACCTCTACCGTGCATTTTTCATGAAACTTTTTTCCACACACAACCACATTTTGGAATCGCCTTTCAGCAATGGTATTTCTGAAACGATACAATAAAAGATCTTATTCCTTCTTAAAACACATTTGCAATTCCCCTGGTATTTCGGATGCTTATCTATATAATCACTTACCATCAGGTGATACGCAAATACCTTTTTCCCTTTGCTATTTACAACAAAAAAATATAGTTTTTCTTTGTACATCTTGATTTTCATTATTCCTCTAAGTTTCAAAGGCACTATCCTGTTGAATGAACTTCTTACTAACAAACCTTATTATTTTCCTGACATCTTCATATATGAAAGAAATATATACGTATGTATAACTATGTACGGAACTCTATTAGATTTATCACAATATTCCGTTTCCACGACCAAAATATCCAGATCTGAACGTTTACCGTTACTGTAGGCGATTTACTTCAGAGGGGAGTTCAAGTTCAATTGGAGTTTTGTACAATAAGGTTAGCTGAAAACGAAGTGGCCAGAAGTAATAAAATGGAAATTATTTTTTATGCCATTCGAGGTCAATTCCTTGGAAAGATAATATTTTTAATTCCGAACACAAAAGGTGCGACTGTAAAACACTTGAAGCTTTTATCTTCAGTTTATGAGTTGGGACCGTCCTTATAAGAATACAATCAAAAAATCATCAAAGTCCTAAAAAGGAAGAGGTTGCGATGTTTCACACAAAATTATTTGGTAATAAATGAAAATAGAGTTTACAATGAAACTACTTTCTTGCTAACTGCAATGTGCGGGAGATTTGATAGAACTGATAGAACATAATTTTAAAAATAAATTGACCAAATGGCTGTTAGCACACTGTTTTTACTCTCTGGACGATTATTTCAATCTATACTCTATACATATAAATAAAATTGGAGTGTCTGTTTGTAATATTGAAATAACGGTTTTTTACTACACGCATATGAATTCGGCACATATACCAAATTAACATTTTTACAATTTTTGTCTGTGTGTATGTCGGTCTGTTTGTTCCGGCTAATCTCTGAAACTGGTGGTCCGATTTTGTCGGGACTTTTTTTGGCAGGTAGCTGATGTAATAAGGAGTAACATAGGCTACTTTTATTTTAGAAAAAATAAAGTTTAATTCCACGCGGACGAAGTCGCTGGAACAGCTAGTTATAAATAAAAATAAGGTAATAATCATTGTAATAATGCTAATAATAATAATAATCATTAATTCTAAATGTCTAATATGTATCAAATTGTTATAATGCTAATAATAAAAATAATCATTAATTCTAAATGTCTAATATGTATCAAATTGTTATAATGTAGATATTAATATGTAATCATTATGTTTATTAATAAAATTTGCATGCCTATATGGTGTACTGTATATAGTTGTATGATAATCATTTCACATCATTACCTCTTTTCATGACAACTGGCCGCTTACGTACAAAACAGATACGATCCATATTTTCACCTATAAAATATTCTCACGTCATCCGTCACTCGCCTTATACAGCTCTGTTCCATATATATATCTATACTTTCTTTAAGATAATCTTTTGTTAATATTATTCTTTCAAATATACTAATTATTAGTTGAGGGTCTATTTTATTTGTATATTTATTGTTACCGACCCCACACCTACTTAAAAAAGGCTAATTACAGCGCGGCCTACTAATGTAACTGGGGCTATATTGATATGTGCATATCTGTCTGTAATGCGAATAAATGACTTACTTACACGCCAGCCCCATTGTACCCTAACACTAAAATTCAAAATTCAAAAATCATTTATTCATGTAGGACATTTTAGCCGCTTATGAACGTCAAATTTTTACATTATAATTTCATTTTTCCCTACCGTCCAGTTCGGTATATAGATCCAATTGAGAAGAACTGGCAAGTAACTCAATTGAATTACTTTTTTTTTTAAAGCCAGTTTATTTACAATGTATTTTTATATAGGTGTCTATGTTTAACATTAAATGAACATTCAGTGCATGAACAACTATTGCCATGCACACTCGTCATTCAAGTAATCCTTTAGTGAGTAATAGGCTTTGCTCAGTAAATATGATTTAACAGATGTTTTGAATTTATTTAAGGGTAATTCCAACATATCCTTTGGTATCTTATTTTAAATTTTTACACCTATTCCCATAAAAGACCTATTAACTTTTTCTAAACGATACTTGGGGCTGTCCCCAAGTATCGTTTGTCTTTAAATCTGGTATTAATATTATGAATATTGCTGTTTTTTGGAAATAAGTCAAGATTTTAATGAACATATAGGATATTTGAAATTATAAATTGAGAAGCAACGGTGAGAATATTTGCCTCTTTGAATTTCTCTCTTAATGAGTCACGACTCTTCATACAGTAGATTACTACATTACCTCACCTGTGAGCAAATTACCTTATTAGCAGCATTAAGTGAAAAAAAAAAATAATTATCGCCCTATTTCACTAGCTACTATCTTGGCTAAAATATTTGACAGTCTATTAAACTCGCATCTGAGAAATACTCTTAGTATACATGAGGCTCAGTTTGGTTTTAAGCCTGGCCTTTCTACTGAAACTGCTATATACTGTTTGAAGCACACTGTCAAGTATTATTTAGACCGTAAAACACCTGTAATAGCTTGTTATTTGGATTTATCTAAAGCTTTTGATATGGTATCTTATGAGATCCTGTGGGAGAAGCTTCAGAGACAAAATATTTCCAGTGAACTTGTTACAATATTTAAGTACTGGTATGATAACCAAATTAACATTATTAAATGGGCGGATTGTTTTTCAGATGAGTACAAACTGGAGTGTGGGGTGAGACAAGGTGGTATATCCTCACCCACACTTTTTAATGTGTACATTAATAGCCTGATCGCTGAACTTAGCAGTATGCATGCTGGCTGTTACATAGATGGAATTGCCGTTAATAATCTGAGTTATGCTGACGACATGGTGCTGCTGAGTCCATCGATTAGTGCGCTACGTAAAATGTTAAATGTTTGTGAGCAGTATACCATGAAACATGGCTTGAAATATAACACAAATAAAAGCGAATTTATGTTTTTCGGTTTAGGTGGTAAAAATCCTACAATTCCACCAATTATGTTGTATGGTGTGCCTATTAATAGAGTAGCCAAATTTAAATATTTAGGACATATTATTACCGACGACCTGAAAGATAACGCTGATATTGAACGTGAACGCAGAGCGTTGGCTGTAAGGGGTAATATGTTATCTCGCAGGTTCGCTCGCTGTTCGACTGAAGTAAAAATAACATTATTTAAAGCTTACTGTCAATCTTTCTACACGAGCAGCTTGTGGGTTAACTATACGCAGCAGGCATACAGCGCTCTGCGAGTTCAATACAATAATGTTTTCAGAATGTTGTTGCGTTTGCCGCGTTTTTGTAGTGCATCCACAATGTTTGCAGGAGCATCAACAGACGACCTGTATGCCATCAGACGCAAACGAATCGCTTCTCTATTGCACAGACTGCGGGGCAGCAGTAACAGCATTCTGAAAATGCTGTGCAATAAATTTGATAGCCCAATACTTTGTTTTTGGACCCAAATTGTTACGGGGGCCCTTAAATGATAATATGTAATTTTAGATATACTAACATAGGCTAAGTACAATTGTTACTAATAAATTGGATCTCTGTTATCTGAATAAATTTAAATTAAAATAAATTTAAATTAAAATTAAATTATCCGAATGATCGGCTAAAACATTTTGTATGGCACCAACACCCAATAAATTTTAGTCATTATTTACACGTATAAATTATTAAAAATCACGATATCTTACCGTTTATTTAATTTTATTTGCCGATATTTCTCCAGTGCTTTAACCAGTTCACTCTTAATCGCCATTATCACGGGTAAAACTGCAGAGCAATAGGTAGGTGATAAATAAAATCTTTTATGGGCAGACATATTCGTAAGCAAATAAATTATTATTATTATTATTATTATTATTATTATTATTATATCTTCAGACGTTTTCGTTTGTTGCTACAATTGATACTCGCTCGATACTCATCTGGGCAAACTATTCTAACAGTATCTTCACTTACACTTAATACACTTTCTGATCGCGTATTTATGATTACTAATTAGTCTATATGCTTTTGCAATATCATATGCTGGTAGTCACTCTATTCTCCCAATTTTGAATTTAAAAATATATCTATATTATTGTAAACATGTACAACATTTATTTGAAAAGAATACGAGCTCAGTTTCTTATCAGTTCTTCTCATCTCGAAATCATTCCGAACTGACGGTAGATTTCACATATCATAAGAGTCTATAATAGACCTACATGAATAAAGATATTTTGAATTGAATTTGTTTTTGTATAATTAAACAAATCACTGGTGAAATATCGGAATTTCAATAAAAATAAAACGTGATAAAATACCGTGATATTTTACTAATTTGCACAAGTCTCTGGTTTGTTTTATAGATATGTATCTCAGTATAAATCCTTACAATAATTAAATAGGATAATAAAATCGCCGACGTGTGAAACCGTCTCCTAAATATAAGATGGGGTCATAAAGTTTTATGACATTACTAATGTACAGACATAAAATTAATACTAGTAATACTTTCAGTTTACCGTAAAGATCTTTTAATCAATTGAAATGGAAATATAGAAGTGATCTTCAGCATATTCATTTATTCACTAGCTGTACTCGGGACTCCGTCCGCGTGGAATTTAACTTTGTCTTTCTATTTTGGTGTACACAGGACTTTTTGCCACGTACAACCACATTGTGGAATCGCCTTCCAGGAATGATATTTCCGAACCGATACTGTTTGGGAAACTACTCTGCTACCAAAATGTTAGGGAAACGTCAGTCACGTACCTGTATGGTTCTGCGGATTTCTTGGGCTTCAGGGTCTCGAAGATATCTTCGCTAGCTTTCCAGTTTCACAGTAGGTTTCACAGTTCCAATTTATTTCAATTCACAACACAATGCGCGCGCGCGTCAAGGCTGCTGTACGATCCGTTTCTTACTAGATAAGGGAGGGGAGGCAAAGGCGCGGGAACAGAAAACTAACGGACTCTAATATAATAATCTGTGCTTACGATGTTACAGGGTAGATTTTGAACAGATACTATATTGTATTAGGCACATTGATTTAAGTAGAAAAAGTATAATCCATCACATTTAAAATAAGTGGTTGCGCCATATAACATTATATTTTTGTTTATCATTGTATAATTATTATTAGTAATAGTTTGTTCAAATAAATAATTTAGCGTGGTACGAAACGTTAATTTTCTAAGGATTGGCACTACACTAATTCCTTTATCCTCTCCTATTCCCGCACATACCTTTGTTTTAAGTGCGAGCGAGAAGATTCGCTTGTATCGAAAGTGATATATCGCGCTCGCGCGTCACTGTTAAATTGAACGCTGAAGTTGACATTGAATTCCCGCCTTGATCGCGCTTAAGATCAAGTTTTTTGTAATTCGTGATAATTACTAAACATTTTAATCCACCGCATCGCTCTAGTGTGTTTAAGACCATTGTGTTTGTGCCATTGTTGTGAAGCAAGTAGCTGGGACCTGGAGACACCGACAGCCGCCGCACTGCAACCTACAATTCAAAGGTACTGTGCCTCCTTCCTTACCAGAACTGTCTTTCTTTGTGTTCCATCCTGCAGTTCTCAATCACCAACCTAACAGTGTATCGTGTCAATCCACGTACCCGTCAGATTATTTAGATACAGTCCACTTAAATCAAAATCAAACAATATTTATTTCACCCGCGCCGCCATTATTTTAGTGGTCCATTTCGAGCCGAATATTGTAATTATTTGGTTAAACCACACTAGATATTTTATTTCTAGGTATATTTCGTACAAACGCATACAATTAATTTGTATTTTACTACCTCATTTTCTTTATTTCGTTATATCGATGTTTCTAGAATCTCGTAGGTACATGTAGGTACATCTACCTGATAGATTCATATCAAATTCCGTGTCAACTCAATTTCGCATCGTAAGTAATAGTAGGTATTTACGATTTGTTGTAATACTCCCGCATTGTTTTAACCTAACTATAGGTAAAACAACTTTTTAGTCACCGCATTTATATTCGTAGTTATCAATTACTTTCGCGCCATTGTAGATAGTCTATCTACCTACATATTGATATCCTCAGGCCCCCTTAGGATAGGCTGAGACGCATACGATATTATAGCTTAATATTATCGCTATCTACCGGTCTACTATTGAATAGGTTAGCGGCATAGACTTGGAATTTAGTTCGCTGTAATAAACAAGACATTGCTTACGCTGTAATAAACAGACATCGCTTTGTTTAATATAAATATTTGACAGATTCCTATCACGAGTACGTTGTGGTTTATTATTTCGTATTTTAATTGTAAGTACATTGTGTACTGCCGGCTCTCGTTGCCCGCATCGCACCGCATTGCACCGCACCGCACCGCACCGCACCGCACGTAACTTGTGTAGGTATTTATCTGTTCTCCACCGCACCGCTTTCTTATATATTTATTAGTACAAACAAGTTTTTGTATTTATAGGTTGTTCATCATGTCGGATGTCAATCAGTTACCCCTGTTACTCGCTAAAAAGGATTTAATGTTTTCTCGCATACAAAGTATTACAGATAGGACTCATAATCTTTCTAGTGAATATGAAAGAGAAACATTCTTGTGTGAGATCGAAACAGTTGACAAATTACGCTCGGATTTCGAAACTATGTTAGATAAAATAAATACTTTAGAATCTAAATTGAATCCTAAATATGTTATTAATTATCAACCGCTCATGGCATTTGATGATTTGTATTGCCGTATAAAACGCGCAAGATCGCTAGAGGTACCGCCTGATGTCAAACATCATCAGCATAATAGGGATGAGGACAGGCCTCGTCTGCCCCCCTACCAATTCCGGAATACTCAGGAGATCTGAGATCCTGGTCTTTATTCTATACAGCTTACAAAAGCATAGTTCATGACAATCCTAGATTGTCAGATTCGGAAAAATTACATTATTTGATGGGTAAACTGACAGGTAAAGCTCGTTCTGTATTTGCCGGTATAAACCCTTGTTCTGAAAATTATAAGGTCATTTTAGATGCTTTAATTATTATGAAGATAAGAACTGCTCGCATCATCATACCTAGATCAAATATTCGAAATGAAGCCCTTTCATTATCAAATATAAATAATTTAGAACAATTTCTCGATAAAAACTTCAGTATCCGCGTTAAATAACTTAAAAATTAATAATCTTTCGGATTTTATATTTTTGTATACCGCGTTAAAGAAATTAGATTCCGAAACCGCCCGCGCTTTCGAACTAGATAAACGAGGATCCGACATCCCATCTTTCGATACATTAGTGTCATTTGTGCGCGATCACATTAAAATATTGCAACGCACTTCTTCAAGCAACCAAGAAGTTACTAAGAAAGTTGTCGATCGTCGTATGGATGCGGCATCGAAAGTTATGCAACATAAATCTACATACTCTTATACTACAACCGCTAATCCGCAGCCTAAGTGCTCTTGTGTAACATACAACATGAACATTTATATAAATGTAGGTTTTATTTCTAATGATCGTTTCCGATTTGTTAAATCTAATTCCTACTGTATTAATTGTCTAAGTAAAAATCACCGTGTATTTAATTGTAACTCAAATAGTCGATGTCACAAATGTGACTCAAAACATCATACTATGCTCCACTTTGAGCATAGTAATACCTCCACCGCGAACATACTCAGTGGTAGTTTGGTCACAGCGACTACGTCACGCGTAGTGGATTTCGTCGCACTCGTCGCACACGCAGCCCGCTGTTGGTGGCGGCGGCGGCGGCCGACCGGCTCCTTGCACGGACCGCGCCCCGCACTCACCCCCGCCGACACCCGTCGTATCCCGCGCATCGGAAGACGTAGCATTATGCACGTTATCAGACAATGTTAATAAAAATATGCCTCGCGTACCTACTACAGTATTGTTAGCCACCGCTCGTGTTTTAATGATCGATAGAGACGGTAACGAACATTATATCTAGAGCATTATTGGACAGTGCTTCTCAAAGTAATTTTGTAACTAGGGATTGTTGTAATCGCTTGGGATTGCAATGTATACAGAATACAACCTTTTCGATTAAAGGTATAGGAGGGACAACAAAGGCCACACAGGGTTCTGTACATATAAAATTCTTTTCACGGTTTAATCGTAATATTAAATTTGATATGGAATCCTTAGTTGTAGATAAAATAACCGAACGTTTACCGACTGTTAGTGTCGATATTTCATTATTTTCAAATTTTAAAAATTTGCCTTTAGCCGATGATAGTTACGCTACACCTGGGAACATTGACATGTTAATCGGTGCCTCAATTTTCCCGCATTTAATATTGTCCCGTAAGGTTAAAGGTCAACCCGCATACGTCTCGCCGTATGCTATTGAGACCGTATTAGGCTTTGTTATTGTAGGTTCAGCTCTCGCTAGATCAAATACCGATACTTCCGTGTCTAATATGTTAGATAATTGTAATTACACTACCACCGCGCATTGTTGTGTTACCGAACCCACGATGGAATCCGTTCTATGTAGATTCTGGGAAATGGAAGAG